TTATGCAGCTGCCATAATTAAAGCATATTGTCTTAAAATGGAAACAAGGCATAGTGTTAGTTACTGAGCAGCCTGCAGTCATGCTCTTCCTTCCCCATGTTGCTGCCTTTAACTTACTTTCACTTTCTATCCACATCACATGTCACACAGTGCTAAATAGCCCATCTCTGCCTCAATCGCCTGTGGCACATAACATTGGTGTTTGCACAAGACAATTCCAGCCTATTACTCAAGTACATGTATTTCTTAATATTTTTTGCATGTCTGTCTGCTGTAGTGATGAACTACATGTAATAATGTGCAGGGCAATTCCCTCATATACTTGTGCTAGCTGGTAACCAAGTGAGGCCATTTAATGTTAATTTATTATGCATTGTAGTGAAAGATACTGGCAGCCCTATGTCTACAGTGTATTACAATACAGGGAGAAACATTCCTGAGAGGTTGCACAGAGCGATATTGAAATGACCCTCAGAATCAGCGCCTTTATCAAACTCAGGATAGTTTCTTAGCTGCGTTTCTCTGTACTGCAGCAGATCACAGTTTTAGTGCTTTCGTCTCTGTGTTGATTTTTTCATGAAACCAGAGCAAAGGGATGCAGTGTAATTCTGAGCTGACTTTTATTCAGGATGGGTGCTGCTGGGCACAAATACAGGAAGCACTTACCAGAACCCTAGACACGGCAGAGTATGGTGACTGAATCAGCCGCTATTCAGAGCAAAATTCGTTCAGATGTTCTAATGGTTAATCCAAGTATTTGTTTTTTAAAATGGTGCATTGCTTTCCAAAAGTAGAATTATACACAAATTGGACATGGAAATAGTTTCTCAAATTCTTTTCAAGTGTAATTCATAATTAAAGAGAAAGACAAAGAAAAGGTAGCGAGGTTGAAAGCTGTGGCCAGGTTTTTATTACCGGAATATTATCTGACCAAATTCCGTGTCACCTTTCTGAAGAACAGCCATCCTAACCTCAGACCCTGGAACGTGAGAGACACACGTGGCGGAAAGAGGCAGGGTTTAAAGAGCACTTATCAGCGAGAGACCGGAGTGCGTCTGACCCGGAGAATAGACTTGCCATATGAGTCAGGGAATCTGGAAAAAGAGACACAAAGAGCGAAATCAAAAACCAGCATGGTGATGTCACCGGTGGCCACAGAAGGCAATGATGTCACAACAGCTGGACAGAGGTTCCGTTATTTATTTATTCATTCGTTCATTCATAGGTATGTTCCTTTGGTGTGGCGGAACAGGCAAGGACACACAGACCAAGGGTGGGAGCAAAGCCTTCCTGGGTGTGCCATATATAACACATATGTTTATATAACATAGATCTTTCTTTGGTCGAGGTCAACGCTAAAATCAAATAATTAAGCATTTGGCATTATTTGAATCAACTCAACTCAACTCAGTACTGTTCTACTATGGTGAGAAATAACATGTTGGCATGTCTTGCTGTGCAACATCTGGACAGCATGACTCTGAAAAAGACATTTTGAGATTCTGAAGATCTATAAATTCCGCTCTCCTTGGCCCGTGTCTAGGAAAGCATGTTTATGACCCTGATCTGGATCAACAGTTAGAATATGGATGGATTTGTTTATGTTACTTCTCATTTAATGGACATTTTCAACTAAATCACATGCAAACACTGTTTTTCACTGTGTATGTCAGTTCAGGAAGGGAATGTTTGGGTTTCTGCAGCAGGGGATTGCTGAAGTAAACCATAGTATAGTCTTTGCCTGGACCTGCAGAAAACATTGAAGATCATTCCAGCCTGCAGCAGGACATCAAGCTGAGAAATGGAGGTGGAGATGGACTGACAGGGCTTTGTAAGCAATCTTTAGCTCTCTGTCCTCTTCATAGCTGAGGTCTCTTTGATGAGTTGATTCAGGATGCCATACGAAATTTCCTTCCAAAACTTTGAATTCTGGTCACATAAAATACAATTTTCCTATATGGGATACTTTCATAAATCTAACCTAACTGACCACATGAATTATGAAATTACATTGCCCGTTATGCTACATTATGCAACCATCACTTAGTACAACAAAATAATCATCTGGAAGATGACGTACAGTGGGTATTTATGTTTTCTGTCCTGAATAATGACCAGGAATATGAATACATTAATTTTGATAGCCTACTTATTCCATGTTTCTACCGCCTTTCTGGATACAACATTAATTTCCCCAAATGAGATTTCATATGCAATAAGCTCTCGCATAAGTAACTGGATACAGCTACTTATTTCCATGCTAATAGCAATCCTTAAATATTGCATATTCTAGAAGGTAACAGATTATTTGATTTTCCTTGAAACTTCTCATCTGACTTTGTGAAACTACGTTTGTACATATCTGATACCACTGGGCTGTATTATGTTTGTTGTTTATAACTCACTTCTCACAGTTGTAATCTGGGAATAAAATATGGACGGCACATGGCAATTATTCCACACCACAGCCAAATTTGAGCTGGGACGAGCTGCGCTACAAATGTTTGGCATAGTTTCTTGCAGTATCTCATTATTGTAAAAAAAAACCGTCTGTTTCTTCCAGCGTAACGCGAGAGACGATGAAAGAGCGAGCACTTATTGACAGCGGGGTTCTCTCCAACACCAAGGTCTCACGCCTGCCGCCGTCTTGTCTTTCTGGCTGCACTCGCTCCCTGAATTGGAAACCCAAAGGACGCCCGGCCTAGTTAGTCCTGAATTATAGATGAAAGGTTCGCCCTCACCATAGACAAGTTGCTGGCTTTATGTAAGACAAGGGCAAGGATTCGGGCTGCTGGTTCACCTCAGGACCTCATTAAAATCAGACACCAGGCACTTCTTACAGACCAGTGAACCTGAATTCATAAGGAGTATATAGACAGAGAGAGAGAGCACTTAATACTCATGCAGTGTGTTTTAGTATATCACATTTCTTTATTAAAGTTTTTATGTCATTTTGTTTGTAATGCTGTTCAGCAAACATAAAGGGTTGGTTGCACTCTTCACCACAACAATTGTTCACCATTGTAATAGATCTTCCCTTATATTACGGCACATTTTTGTCTCCTCTCGAAGCCTTCAGATGCTACGTGTGCAATGAGTGTTGGTTGTCCTGGGCTATTTTCTTGCCTGGTATCAGTAGCTATACCACTGCATGGAACCAGAATGCTTAATGACTATGGATGGGATCTTAAATATAAAAACTATTTTGGTACAAAACCTCACTTGGGTCTTGAGGACCTGACATCACCTGACATGACATCACCAACCCTAGGAACTGGAATAAACTCCAGCCTTGGTCCCGTTTTTCATATACCTGGTTGCAAATAGTAATTTATTATATATTTTGTTACATGAGTATCATTTTAACTTAGATTTCATTTGAAAATTTTCGGTTGTGTGTGATGAGAAGATGTGGGAGAAGCACATTCAGCAAAAGTGTTTGAGCAACAGTGAAATGCTGTGAAAGACATGTTTATTGAAAGCTTTTCAGTTTATTCAAAGGTAGATTAGGAAATACTGTGCTATTATTATTTACAATGCTGGTTGGATTGAAACCTTTTTCATCTGCCAAATGGCACAATTAGAAAACCACAACAGAAAACCTTTTAAAATTTCACATTTTTAGATTTCACAAACAGTTGAAAAAACTGTATGCATTTCTTTCAGTAACTGAATATTTTAACATCTAGCACATAGTTAAAAATATACATTCATGAACACAGACAAGCTCTTTATTGGACTCATTTTGCCACAAGGTACAGTAGTCTTGTCGTTTTCGTTCATGTGCCCTGATCGCAGTGCCCTCAGGACATGCTGCGAGTTGCTTGGCAGTGGTGATGCAAACCTGTCTCATGCAGCTTCAGTCAGTCTTCAAGTCCTGGCCAAATTAAATCCTTGGGAGTTATCTACTGCCCCTTCTGACCATAATGGAACTCAACAGACCATTTGGTGCTGTGCTCCAATACGTTACATTTTATTAGAGATTTTTATCCAAAGTGACTTACAGTAGTGGGAAAGATTACAGTTTACTGCATACTCCTTGGGATTTGAACCCACAACCTTTGTGTTGTAAGCATAACGTGCTACTTGTTGAGCTACAGGGGAAACTGTCATTTCCCATCTGCCAGGGGGAAGCCCTGATGCTGGCAGCTCTGATGCACCATCTGTGGGCCCTGTTTCCTGACAGTACACTGTGGAGGGAAGATCTCACAACCAAAACACTCAATTCCAGAGGCCTGACTGACTGTTATAACACCATTGGCTTTAGCTCTGTTATAAAACATAACTTTTCAGTGTTGCTCTTTAAAATAAAAGCTGTTTATATACAATAACTGAAAATGTCTGTCATTCTGCTCTTTCACTTTCTGAAAGAGTGGAAAATGAATATACTCACATTTTTATAGTCAACAATATACTTGTGAAATTCACATGCAATTCACATATGTGTCTCACAAAAACAGCAAGCGATTTTTACTGTTTTTTTTTTTTTTTTACAATTCGGAAAAATACTTCAGCAGGTTCCAAAGTGATTCATATGCCAAGAAAGAACCGAATCTATCCTGTGCACACTATGGATGTAATCGAAACAAAGCATTTTGACAAAGGTGTGGGAATCTCACTAACGAATGAACTGTCGAATACTTAATGCCCAGCCTGAATTGTGAAGCAGTTAACATCCCTAATTTAAGAAGCCAGTTAAATAGAAAGTAAATTAGGTTGTAACGAAAAGGAAAAAAGTGTAATGCAGTCTTGTGGATCTCTGCTCATACGTATCCTTTGGCTCGAAAGCACATTCAGAATAAGCTAAATGCATACCCGCGTCAGGAGTAATACTAGTGATGGGCCGATCCACATTTTTTCAGTTCCTATCCAATTCCAATACACAACTGCCGTTACCGATACAGATTCCGACACAAGATCTTATTTTAATATTAATATAATAAACATATTAGATATTTACACTTTATATATTATTTTAAAACTAAATTATAGATTTAAAAATGTATGCCAAAAAATCTTTAGTCTACTAGAAACATACATAACATACTGTTCCTCCTCGTTCAGTTGGAATTAATATCATCCAAGCGAGGACACGCAATTGCATGGCGAATGCGTTCGCTTTGCTTAGTGGGATTTTCCACTAAACGCTACTCCCATCTCTCAAAACTTCGTTTTTACAAAGATTGCAAACCAGTAGTTGTTAAAAACGTAAATTACTTCCCACACCGTCACGGTCTCGTCTGCTGTTTTCACGCTTCTGCTGCAAATGATATGCGAATGACGTCACAGTAGGCGGAAGTCACTGCGCTTACACCCACTAAGTAGCAAACAGGGTGGCAGCGTTAGAGTTTAGCTTGAATGCCGCAAAAACACATAAAAAATGTTAAAGAGCTGTCGTGTGATTGATTCTAGAAATAGGTTTAATACGAAATAGATTCTTTTTAGTGACTGCTAAAAACTAAATAAGTATCGGACGTGGATCGGCCACGTACGGCTGACACCCGATCCGTCTAATAGGTTTGGATCAGCATCTCTAAATAATAGATTCACACTGCTGTTCATCAGCGCAGAAATGTGGCAATCAAAACGCTCATGGGATTTATACTTAGACAAAAATGTTCTGAGGGCAGAAAGAACATTGATTGATTCAAAGAGATAACCAATCAAATTGTAGAGCAGGTGGGTCCAAGCAAATAAAGGAGGCGGGACTAGAACACCTGATTAGTTTGTCCCACTTCCTGTACAATTTGATTGGTTATCTCTCTGAACCAAGCATTGTTCCTTCTGCCCTCAGAACATTTTTTGTCCAAGTAAAACTCCCATGAGCAATCAAAACACTCATGCCAATCATATAGACATGCATTTGACACAGTTAAAATCTCCTGTGCGAACATTTATATTATAAACATACCACAGTTTCAAATTCAGGTGCAGTTCAAGTCCAGGTAGCTAGCAAGTCAAAATCACATAGGTGGACGCAGTTCAAATCTAACATGCTCCCATTGTCCAAGTATGTGGGTACAATTACAATACTATACATAATCACTGTCTAGATACAAGGGTGATGTTGAAACCACACAGATGAGTAACCCCTGTAAAGAGGCATAAAACCAATTTAAAATCCAGTTTCTCAGTCCAGTCAGCATCTGCAGAGTACAAATGAGGAGCAAATGAGATCTCCAGATGGCCCTGTAAGGCCCTACAATTCATAATTATAGTCCCTGCCTTCCTATCACGCCTCCATTCCAAGTCTGCTCGTTCCCCAATAGGTTAGCTGGACTCAGGAGATCTTTGTGCCTGTTGATTGGTGGAGCACAGCTCCTCCCACTTCATTCGATTTGCATTGATCCCATCCACCATTGGCTGCAGCTTCCTGTTCAGACTCGCCAAAGCCTGAAAAGGAGCAGTGAGGTACGCCGCATTTAATCAGCTAGTGATATAATTTAGTTATGATACAGAGTAACGTGTGGCGGGCCGCTTTAGAGCATGTACCAGCTGCGAAGTGCCCTGCAGCTGCCAGTGCTCATGTCCAGCTATGTGGATGGTTTCCTTACCTCGTAAAGAGGCTTGCAGATCCCATCAATCCATTCCATCTGCAGGGCGGGTAGCTCATCTTTCCGATTGCGGTCAAAGATCGCCTGCGTTAAAACAAAAAAGCCCTGATATGAAGAGTCAATGTCTCTTTCCCAGGACTCTTATTGTCAGATCTTTTTTTAAATCTCAGCTCTCTACATTATGGCTGTATACAGGAGTCTACCTAAAAATTACATATGATTTTTGCATATTAGAAGGCTCCTGCAAAGTGTTGGGTCCCCTGAATCTGCCAGGGTATCTATGCCCCTCTGATGCCCCTAAAGTCTGGGCGTATATATGTGCGAATAACCTGAGGTGCCCCATGCCACACTTACAGATGGTGTCAGCTTCAGCTCAGACCTCTCCCTGTCTCCTTGTTCAAAGAATTCACTGGTGACCAGCTCCGCAACCTGGAAAACACCACTTGAGTAATTACCCATTTATATTGTGCAAGACTACACCCAGTGAGGAGCAGAGGGGTGACGTCTAACCTGTCTGGAGATCTCCCAAGGTCGTGTGACAGCTCCCAGGTCACATGCTGTCATCAGCATCGACCTGTTTTGGCCAGTTGTATCCATTACCACAGAGAGCAAAACATCTTTATAGTCAACAACAGAAGCCAATAACCAAGAGAACTTAATTTTGTACCAACAACTTGAACCCCAAAACATAAAAAGTGAATCTTCACCTGAACATCTCTCTGTGTTCCTCATTGGTCAAGCTGAATTGCCCAGATTGGACACAGTCAAAGAACTTGTTCCTTCTCCTTTAAGTGTGTCCGACCACAGGGAGGATGAGGGACCGGATCAGTGTGTGAAGAACAAATCGGGGGATGCAGTACATCTGTTCTTTCGTTCAGTTTCGTTTAGTTTAGTTTAGTTTAGCATGCACATTAAAGAACTAAGAGAAGAAATTTTGTTGCAACTAAACATCCCAGTGTTCCCTAAATGACTACAGCAGCACTAACTCGCTTTATCTGGGAACATAAACAAAAGTAATAGCAAAGAACTGCAGGAAACCCATGGGAAAGAAAACAGATGAAAAACAAGGATTAAAAATTGACCACCATTGATCGTTCTTCCTTTGTCTGTACTCACTGGAAATACAAAGTCAGGTCCGTTGCCAAAATGGCCTGCTTCAGAAGTTGCATCATGTTGCTGTATTCATTGGAGCTGAGGCTGGCAAAAATGTTGTGACCCTAATAATATAAAAAACACTTCTTTACTAATCCAATTTACTGCATTTACATCACATTACTGCATTACATTTAACGTCAGATTTAGTCCGTTATATCGAATTAGGGCATCTATCTCACCAGTAGAGGGTAAATGATAAGTTTTTAATGATAAGGAAAATTAGATGCAGCGACGGGGATATAAGCTTTGCCAGATGCTTGGTAGTCTCTGGATGTTTGGTTTGTGACTGATGACAGTTGGTTGTGTGCACAGGCGAATCTGGTCAGCACGGTCACCTCGCTTTGAAGGATCATGACGGCGTGATTGAAGTGGTGATGCTCCAGGGTAGCAGACGTACCATAGAGCTGCGCCAAAGCTGAGCCAGACCTACAGGAGGCAAGGGAAAGGTGCGGGACTTTGGCTCATGGGAGTTTTACTTACAGAAAACATTCTGAGGGCAGAAGGAAAAATGATTGGTTCAGAGAGATAACCAGTCAGATTTTAGCCCAGGTGGGTCCAAGCAACTAGAGGAGGCAGGACCAAGACATCTGATTGGTTGGTTCCACCTCCTCTAGTTGCTTGGACCCACCTCCTATACAATCTGATTGGTTATCTCTCAGAACCAACAATTTTTCCTTCTGCCCTCAGAACATTTTTCTGTAAGTAAAACTCCCATGAGAGACAGAGAGAATGGTGTTGAGAAACTGGTGTCGGTGACTGAAGGTGCAATGAGGTCAACTAACTTGGCCTGGAAGGCATTGTTGGTGCCTCTGTGGTCCAAGTCATGGCACAAGCAACCAACCATCAGCGCAAGTATTTCGGTGTCTGACAAGACGTCCTGGAACCCAGCTGTCTGCAAAAAGCCGACACTATCCATTAATGGGTCTCTCTGGCAGTGTTTCCCAATGCAGTCCTTGCGGACCCACAGTCAGTCTGCATTTTTTGCTTCCTCTCAGCTTAATGTGGACTGTCTGGCAGGGGGGGAGCAAAAAATGTGGATCACAGAGGACCGGGTTGGCACACACTACAGGATCCTGACTGGCAGAGCAACCCGTCCCAAGAGAAACCCAATGGGATCTTAAGTATCGGCACAACGATATTCAGCTGATGAAGTGGTTTGCTGAGAATCAAACTCACCGTGATCATGATGAACATGCACTGGGAGACGTTAAAAGCATGCCGCCAGTTATGGTAGGCGACCGTGCGGTAATTCTTCCTCACGGTAAGCAGCCAGCGGCAGAGGACCTGGGTGGGAGCGCAGGGTAAACAACATCTCACTTACTAAAAAGCCCTACTCCATCTATACTCCACTTACTGGAAAGCCCTACTCCATCTATACTCCACTTACTGGAAAGCCCCACTCCATCTATACTCCACTTACTGGAAAGCCTTACTACATCTACACCTCACTTACTAAAAAGCCCTACTCCATCTATACTCCACTTACTGAAAAGCCCTACTCCATCTACACCCCACTTACTGAAAAGCCCTACTCCATCTATACTTCACTTACTGGAAAGCCCCACTCCATCTACACCCCACTTACTGGAAGGCTTTACTACATCTACACCTCACTTATTGAAAAGCCCTACTCCATCTATACCCAACATCTACCTGTATTCATATATCACAATGATGCAAAGAAATATTCATAATTTTCAATTTATGGCTATTAATTTGTGTGTTTGTTTTTGTTTGTTTATTTATTTTATTATATTTATTATGAAAAATTGCGTATATATCTCAAATTAGCAGCTCACGCACCTCATAGTCAATTTTAAACTTTTGACCGACTCCCAGCTCCAGAAACATCCGTAGAGAAGCAGTGATCATGCCGTCATTGTCCAGAGAAAAGTCATTGAAGTGGAACTCATCTATACCCAGCTCGCTGCTCAAGGGGATCTTTGCTGCCTGGAAAAGGGCCGCACATATGAGCCACAAGGACAAACAGGATTTTCTAAGATATTATTGGTTGCCGCAACAGTCCCTGAGCAAAACAGATAATATACATTTATACAGCAAGAATCTCAGCACTGTGGCCCATGCTGAAGGCAGAATGGGCAGGATTTGCAAGTTGTACTTTTTAAGATTAACACCCAAACTCTTTCTCCATTATTATACAGTATATGCTTATTTAGACCGTGTCTATAATTAAGTTGCAACTGAGAAAAAAAAGCTGAAATAAAAAAATGGAGCATTAAAATCACCCAGTTGTCTGAAATGGAGGGAAACTGCTGAGATACTGAACTTGTGTGAGACACATAAAAGTTTCATGGTTTTATTAGGGCCTGGTTCTCTGCCGCTCTGATTGGCTGTGTTTTATAATTCATCACATGCCGCATGAGCAGCTAGAGACAGGCTCCCTTTACTTTGATAACCTTTGCACACACACGGCCGTGCTGCCACCCCTCCCACACCACCAGCCTCAGAGTATGTCCAAACTACTCAGCCTTATCCATAACCAACATGGGAAGAGAACAGGACATACCCATGGAAATACCATTTTATGTTTAAAACAGAGTACAACTTATTTGAGATGTTTTAACTTTTTGTATGTTACCAAATACATCTAAATCTGATACTCTACCTTTCACTTCTTATAATACTCTTACAATTACTCTTTGTGTAAACCATGTGTTTTTTTCACTAACCTTTAGCCGGTCCACCTCTACCTTTGAACACGTGGCATGGTAGGACAGCATCTAGGCCAATAAATTTGGGAACAGTCAAATGTCACATTTTCCCCCAGCATTTAATATGATGTAAGTTTGTCATGCATTCCTGTAATTGCACACAGTATAATGGTTCTTTTGATCTTGTGCTGAAGTATCTGTAAAGCTCATTTAAACTTTCGGCATCAGACGGCTATATACAGGTGAGGACCAGCCTTGGGGAAGTTTGGGGAATTTTCCCAGTGGGCTGGTCTTGTAAGGACCAGTCTTTCCTCCTCAACCTCAGCACCATATAGCCTGTATATCAGCAGTACCTGACCCATGCATGAAACTCGCCATCTTTCCCAGTAATTTGCAGGAGGTGATTAATGAATAATGCTTTATTTCATCATCACTGGTGGCCAACTGGTTTATCTCGATCGGCAAAATTAGTGGCTTGAACTCTTATCTGGGGTGATTGTAGAATTATTTTAGGATGGGAGCATAAGAGCAGCCATAATACATAAAGAGAGGCCACCCTTATCATTATCTATGTGATATCAACAGAAGATACTTACGTCAAGAGCAACAGACTGCTTGGCCCATGTCTTCTTCACCTGGTTGTACATCATGGTGTTGTTGATTCCCAGGCCACAGAAAATCACAAAAGCCTGTGAGAAGATAAGCCAAATGTACTGCCATCCAAATGTGCTGCCATCCAAATGTGCTGCCATCCAAATATACTGCCATCCAAATGTGCTGCCATCCAAAGCAAGTCAGCAACATTTAGAAACAAAAGACTTTCAACTGACTTACCCCAGCAAAACAGCATTAGGATGGAAGAAGCATTGCTCACCTCGAAAAGCCTCTGGTCAGCATCATTGAAGGTCTTCCTGTCGAGACGATTGAGGATCTGAGCGACCCCTTAGAAAGAGAGATACCCCTTTTAGCCCTCGACAAAGAAGGTCTGGATCCAAAAAGATAGAAGTGGAGTTACAACTGACCGATGATCTGGTGGGTGCGGTTCCAAATGGGGACACAGAGAACCGACCGAATGTGGAACCCTGAGGCCTGGTCTGCCTGGAGGAGACAGCAGAGACAGAGTGTTAGAGACTGCATGTTATGTGCCAGTATTTGTCTTCTTTTCTTTCTTTTCGTTCACCTTCCTCCTCTTTCTGTCAGTACCATTTATAGGCGTCCAGGTTGTGGTGCTGACGTAAGCTGCCCGGACCAATCCCAGCATGCTTCCAGTAACGGAATGGACACAGTTATTGCTTATCAGGGGAGTCCAATGAATATCCCTGTAGCGATTGCTGTTTCTATGCCAACGTGCTTGTAGCATCTATTAGCAATCCATGCTTTTATGATTGTTCAGTTACCTTATTTGACCTGATTGATTAACAATCGTGTTGAGTGACTAGTTACTAGGCAGTAGGCAGTATTGAGATTACCGCTCAATTAGTCTCATGCTACGTGTCATTGATCATTTAATCCCTAAGGTTGGGAGGAAGTTGAAATGTGCCTGCATCTATACCTGCCCATAGGATAAATACTTTTGTCTAAACACATCAGGATTAGAAAGGGAATGCCAAGTTTTTGTGCTTGTGATTGCTTATGTATAAGCATATTAACTATATGAATGTATGACCGGTGCACATGCGAGTAGGTAGCCTGTGAATGTGTTCATATGTACCAATATCTGTACGTTCATTTTAGCCATGAGGGCTTCTGAGGAGGACAAGAAGACTTGTACCATCACGTACCTCAGCGTCAAAGCGGGGGTCCTGACACACGTCACTGATGTTGACGGGCAGCCCAGTGGATGCCACCAGCTCAGCGATGCTGTTATTGATCAGCCAGTCAGAGCTGGAGAGCTTCTCCATACTGACTTAGTCAAAGAGACACACAGAAAAGTCAGGGGGCCTTCAGAGGCCTCAAGAACAGGTGGTTCCCGGTGCTGCAAATGTTCTGCATTTGTACTACTGTAGGTCAGTGTTTTTCAATCCGGTCCTCGCGGACTCACACACAGTCCATGTTTTCCAGTAGGGAGCTGGGAGGGAGCAAAAACATGGACTGTCTGTGGGTCCCCAAGGAATGAGTTGGGAAACACTGTTATAGGCTGTTACAGGAACATGCCGTCTACGTCTCACATTCTCCGTCCTTGACATGAATACTGAGGAAAACGATGAGAATCGCACCTGATTTCATGGTCAGAACTGCAGAGTGGAGACATCAGCTCGAACGTTTGGGAGAACTTCACCACCTGCAAGAGAAATGGAGGCACTTGGTAAGGAAGGGGGGTCCATAAAAAGGGATGTAGACTGAGGGTGTAGCCAGTATGGAGAGAGGAGTGGATGTGATTGGGGGAGGAGGGGGTTCTCTCACAGGTGATTGGATGTCCTCCAATAAAAGCACTGAGCAGCGCTCACACTGCAGGAGAGTCAGCGCACGCTGCATGATCTTCCTCACGATCTTTTCCAGGTCGGTCTGCTCCTCAAACAGATCATTGACCACCTCGAGAAGGGCCTGGCAGGGTAACAGCCAGCAGGTCATCAGTCACAGTGCAAAAATCCCCCTCGGCAACTTCCACAGACAAGAGAATCCTGCTCACACAAAAATGTTCTGAGGGCAAAACAAAAAAAAACGATTGGTTCAGAGAGATATCCAATCAGATTATAGAGGAGGTGGGTCCAAGCAAATTATTGCTCTGAACTCATCATTTTTCATTCTGCCCTCAGAACATTTTTGTGTAAGTAAAACTCCTATGAGCAAATATCAGAGCCTAAATGACCTCTTATACTAGCAAATTACTTTAAAAGTTACATATTACATGATAGAAACACATTAAGACTGTTTCTAATCTAATGTTTCAGCATTATTTGGTTGTTAATCATTACAAATCAGACAATAGGCATGAGAACTGGAAAGTATCAGCTGATGACACTTTCAAATGTCAACCAGAAACTATGGGATGTCAGCTTGCACTTAAGTAAACCATCCATCTTGAATAAGACAAATATGAGCCATACAACTTGGATGTTTAACTGGAGGAGGTTTAACTGAAGGAGGTTTAGCTAGAGGAGGTTTAACTGGAGGAGGTTTAGCTGGAGGAGGTTTAGCTAGAGGAGGTTTAACTGGAGGAGGTTTAACTGAAGGAGGTTTAGCTAGAGGAGGTTTAACTGGAGGAGGTTTAGCTGGAGGAGGTTTAGCTGGAGAAGAGTTCTCAGGTTCCTTCTCACCCGGCTCCTCTCATACTCCTTGCGGGACTCGGAGAACAGCTTGGCATTGGAGATTGAGATTCCACAGAAGGGCAAATACATCTGCAGCACCTGAGAAGGAGACAGGAAACAGAGCAGCCTCTGTGCCATTTGATCTGCAAAAGTCAGAAATGGAGGATGACCTGAATGGCCTGACAACAACCAATAAAATGAGAAATCGGATAATAAACAGAGCAGTCAGCTGTATAACCAGTGACTGTGAGTGTAATGATAATAATACAGTCTCTAGCTGTTTTCTGCTGTCTCAGGACACTGCCAGCTCCAGTAAAAAATCACTGAAATTACCAAGGGCCAGAATCCCTGCAACCATGGCACAGTCGTGGAATGATTGGCTACAACCTGAGGGGGAACATTATTAATCTCAGGGTGCTCTGTGCCCTTAGGCACCTGTGTAAAGCCGGATTCTCACTGTTGTCCCATAACCATTAATGATGGTCCAAAGCTTGGGTGAGTAATCATGAAATTAAATATTGATCGTGTAATAAATAAGTTGCAAAGAGGCAAATTAATTGGACTGCCTTTAATTGCAAGGGTCTGAGTGGCAAATAATCAGAATAGCTGTTAATTTCCTATGTGTCAGGAGACACATTTCAGGGCTGTAGCTCTCCCTTAAGGCCTAGCAAACCAGAGACCACCAAATCTGGTATTTACATGGAATGCAGCCCAGATCCGAATTTGTCAGGCTTAGTGTTTACGTCATGTGACATTACTAGGCTGCACATCCATATATAATACAAGTGTAAGAGATACATTTATATATTTATATCCTATCCTATTATATATTTATTTCCTTTCTAAAAGTAAAGTCCAAGGTACTGTGATAACTGTAGTAACCTCTGATCCAACTGATACATAATGATCAAATGGAGAGGTAAAGATCGCAGTACCATCTTAATATTAACAGTAAATATTATTCTACTTCTTGACATGATTCTGCCCCCTTGTGGACAGTTTTGGGAAAGCATGAATCCGTAATTACGCAAGATTCACAGACACTTGTACACAGTTATCACGTGCAGTAAGATTTATACATATAGTCATTAAGTATAACTTATACAGTTCAAGCCTAGAATGAGAGCAAGATATCAGCATATGAACCTTTATAATAATCAAAATCACAAATCATTATGATATAAATAAAATTGTAATTAGATGAAAGTAAACAGCAGGTACAATCCCATAAAAAGTATGACATTCCTGGGTAAATTCTGTAGTAGTCCAGCCCATTTCCGTAGAAACCTGAACTGGGTAAGGACAGGACTGAACCTAATCCAGTACTTGGCATCTCTGTAGTGAGAGTGCTGGACCTGATGAGAGAAACAGCAGCTCTGCGGAGTACTATGAAATCCAGCTGAATTAAAGGAGACCCAAATGTAGATACATCCTTTTCTGTGATCATCACCGCTCTTTATTTATATTCCATGATAGAGTATGCAGTGTGTGGGCAGAATGCATGTGTATCGTATTAGACCAGTCAGTATGGTTAAAGAAGGTTTTTACTGCAGGTCACCTCAGGGTCCCTGTTCTCCTGTGAAGGAAAGGGCGCTGCTCTCACCTTCTCGTCGTCGTCCGTGAAGGCAGTGCCCTCTGGGCTCTTGTTGATGGCCTGCACCACTCCGATGACGTCTCCATCGCTGTTGCAGATTGTCATGCACAGGATGGACCGAGTCTTATAACCCGTCAGCTTGTCAATCTCGTCACTGAAACGATGGTCCTGAAAAACAGACACAGTCATTCACCCCCTTACACACGCTGCAAGAGAAAAACAATCACAGCTGATCTGTAATTTGCGCATCAATGACACTCTTTGGACACAGGTTAAGATGCACCAGAATTGCAAATACAATAGAAAATTACAAAACACTTTTATATTTGGAAAATTGTGGAAAATTGTTTTAAAGTAGTAGTAGTTCAATAGATTTTATCACTAAATTGTAATATTTAGAAAATAAATATTTTTCAGCTATTAGTTAAGTTCTCCCCAAACAAGCTTGATGGGCCGAATGGCCTCCTCTCGTTTGTAAATTTCTTATGTTCTTATATTGTATGTTATAGTAATACAAGTCTTTTAAACAATACTGAGAAGAGTATACTTACTCATTTGTTTAAAAGACTTCTAATAATCAGACAATATATTTATTTTCTAAATATTACAATTAAGTGATCAAATCTATTGAACTACTGCTACTTTAAAACAATTTTCCACGTATCAACTAATATAATCCACTAACTTACAGTGTGTAAAAGGCACTGTAGCTATGAATACAAATCACTTAAACATCTGAAAGGATTATATAGTTCCATTGAAAGTGGCTCATTACCTGTTTACACTCTTGACACATACGATATATAAACTATTGAAACTATGTGGCAGAATCAGTGTTAGTGATGACGCTGTATTATCTCTATTATTATTGCCTTTTATTAATATTAATATAGAAACATAATGACCGTCTACAAAAAAAAGAACATCCAAAAATGAGTGACCAGTCATTTGCCTGGTATCATATATATTGCACATTACGAATACTGCTTATAAAAAACTGAACAAAGAAAATGTTCAGGATTGTCTGATTCAGGAGGACCGTCTTACCTCATAGGCGTTGGGGATATTGACTGTCTCCCCGTGTTCGGCCACGTAGCCGATGATGCCTTTGCCCCAGGGGACCTGCACCTCGCTGGAGTTTAAGGTGCTGGAAGAGGGCCGGACCGTGGCTCCGGCGTGTACGTCAAAGAACTTGGACACCAGTGTCTTCTTGTGCGGGGGTCCCTCCACGAGGAAGAGCGAGCACCTGTCGGCTTCCACTAATATGCACACATTTATCAGGATCTTATAACAAAGGCTCGTCATATCCAAGTCATTGGAGATATCTTTTACTAGTTCCAGGAAAAACTCCCTCTCGTTGTTCTCTTTAAGTCTGTATTTGTAGTCTATGGCGCTGGAGGCGTACTGAGGTATACTGACCCGGGACTCGAGCAGGGCGCTCAGGATGTGGGCTGTGGTCGGCGGGAGCGAACTGGCTTTGCGGAGCAGCGCGCGGCGCCGCACGCTGGACTGCGACTCATGAGCGCTCACGTGCTCGTCGTAAGTCCGGTGCGCGGTCATGGCTTTGGACCGGGCGAAGTTCCGTCTCAGCTCCATGTGAGAGCAGCGCCGCTGGAGTCCATCCGTGCTCGTCTGCCACAGCGGCTCCCTGGCCGATCTGCGCTTGTCCTCGACCAGCGACACTTTGGACGGGTGATGCTCCTTCAACCACCTGCTCACCATCTCGCATTTTCCCTTCCTGATTAAATACTCCTCGAAGAGCTCCGGGTGGCGGTCCAAAAACGCCTCCACCTCGGAGAAGTCAAGCGCAGTCATCGCAGCAAAGCAGAAAATAAGGAATTAAAATGAAAAATAACTTGAGTTGAGCTAGACTACTTGTCAGTTTCTACTGTCCTGCCCGCCGGCATCCCCTTCGACTCTGAAGTGCGGCAAATCAGGTCGCTTCATTAGCAAATACATGTATATTGAGCGCAGGTCTCTGCTCCTACACTGTCTTGCTCGGGGCTGAAACATTTCGTTCCGAACGACGGTAAATAAATAAATAAATTAAATAAATAAATAAACGCGCATCTGTAGAGTCTGCGGTGAGTTAATGACCCTCCGCCAGCAAGGCAGTTTATTTAGGCAGCCTGTCACGTGGGATCCAGAGGGAAATCATGAGTTTTGGTTATCAGCCAAACCAGTGCATTTACTACGATCTGTTACTGCGACAGGGACAGGTACTGTCCTCCGTATCTTTGCGCACCGGTCACTTGTGCAAAGTTCGTGTACACAGCACTGTACGCATATATTTATATGCATTTATTGTGACTAAGACAATATTGGTATAAAAGTCTCTGTTTAAACCATACGAACTCGATAAGAATCAAAGGCTTTGGACAACAGCCACTGTAAAACTACCGTTTTCGTCACATGGTCAGATCGTGATGTTACGCCATACCTGAATGTATGTGTGTAACCGGAATGGCGAATGTTGCTCTTTACAGAAACCTGTTTGATGTAGTATGTAATCAAAATCATCTCATAGCTGGTGGGAGACCTTCACATCATTTGCACAAAATTCTTTGCACAATATACTTACATTACTTCTGTAGCCAATAACTGCCCTCCGGAAATAGTAATAATGTTCCCACAGGGGCCAGCAACTGAGTTTGTGGAGTGGTTAAACTAAGTAATGTTAAATATGCAGTATTAACAAGTAGGCCTAGTATTGCTGCACTTCATAGATATTATTAACCTTCACAATCACAGCTATGTTTTATTAGAGGCATTTTAAACTCCTAATAATGTTTAGTCTGTGTTCTGTTATTACATGAGTGCCTAATGGGCAGACGTTGTTTTGCTGTTAACATTATGATGATTGCCAGCTCCTTATGTTGCGGCTGCGTCCCTTACCGTCTGCCATAATAGCTGATTTTGTCAGAGAGCGGCCCTGCCGTCCTCCTGCTGATTACCAGGCGAGACTCCCCTCTTCCTTCAGACTCTCCGAGATGCACAGGGCCCCCTCAGTACTGTCTAAATTGTAGTTTAAAATATTCAGTTTGTTCTCTGTAATTCTGGACAGGCTCCACTGCTCAGATCTCCCAGGCTCCTGCTCTGTGCATCACCCCGACCGCAGACTGAGGGCATAGTCGGGCGCATGCCTGCGCATGTGAGGTGCTCTTCTGGGCAGAGTGTGGTCTGCTGGATCTGTGGTTCCGGTGTTAGTTCAGATGGTCATGAGCTTCTGGCTGCTAGATACTTTGGTTCACTGTCGACTTCGACATTGCTTGTAGTGACTTGTCGGAAACCCAAAAATCTGGTATGTGCTTCTTCTTTAATGTCTTACTTCATGAAGTGAGTCCCAGCGTGTGTATGTGTATGTGTATGTGTATGTGTATGTTTGTGTGTGTGTGTGTGTGGGGGGGGGGGGGCATCGGGTCGGTATTTCAGTACATAATACAAGAAAGCCTGCTGATCTCCTCTGAGGACCACTCCAATATGCTGTACATTCTGAACTGGCATTTCATTTAACTTAATATGGTTCTCTCCGTCTGCAAGAAGAATTCTGATTTGAGCAAAAATTGCATAAGCAGTGAAACGCCAACATTTTAAATAGAGTGGCTCTCACCATTAGGTAAATGACTGCAAAAAAAAAATATGCTTGATTGATGTGATATAATTTTGTATTGCAATCGTGTATTTACAATTTTACCTAGAGCATGTTCTAAAATCGGAATGCACTAATTTGATTTCCCTTTCAGGCCAATTTATGCTACTGTGATTCAGACTAAGTTTGGTGCCAATGCATAGGTTTGGAGTCTCCTGAAAGTTTGAGTCGTGGATGTGATCAGTGTTCATTTTCACACATATATCTATACTAAATATTGGGGGTGCACGGTATTGACAGTGCAGGGCAAAATGCAGTGTGGAACAGAGACTGGCCAGTAGGCCACAGCCTGTACGAAATCCCAGTGCATTCCAAGATCTTAGAAAACACCTCATGAAAAAATCCACTTAATTAATACTAAACTTATGGGTGGTTCCCATAGTAATATTCTGTAAAATGTAATGTATTCATCCCACACTGGGCACCAATACCAACATTACCTGCATACATACCTTCAAAGCATTCAAGGTAACACTGCTTTAGAAGCTGTTAAAAAGATTTAGCAGTTCGGAGGAACTAATTTCAAAATACTGGACTACCGGAATGTGGAAGTATCATTCAATCAACCATAAATGAAGACTTTTTTATTACATTCTGGCTTAAATTCAAACACATTAACAGAATCACCCAAGGTGACGATTTTGGCATTTGGGGACCATTATTCAATTTTATCTTTTTTTGGTCCAGAAACTTTAATCATCACATTAAGGATAAGGTTAAGATATGTCCAGTAAAATGGTTATAAAATTAATTCATAACCACTTATCCTCAGCAGGGTCACAGAGATTAATCCATCGCATGGGGCACATGTGCTAGCGGCAAGTCAGAGACATCGATTAAAGCCAGCAGTATTGGCACCAACATTAATGATGCATAATGCACTAATGACGTGGCAGCCCTTGATTTGTTGATCCTTTTACTTATATTAGTCAATTAGAATAACGATCGCTTAAATATAAAAATAAATAGAACTGGTGACATGATGTGTCTTCATGATGACCCGATAGATGTCTCTATTAATTTTATCCAGTTTCATAACTGTTGGTACTGAAGTTCTCTGTTCACAGTGCAGCTCTCTAACGGTGCAGTTTAACTCTTGAAACCGAAGTGAGACCACATTGCTTTCATTGCTGATGAAACTAGTTAACATTTTATGGAAGGCAAGGGTGCAACTTTGGATTGAACTTTGGGGGGCGGGGCGGGGTTGAGAACCCCACCCATTCATCATGACAATATGATTATTTGG